TTAATATAAGTTCATGAAAACATTTTTTTCTGACAAAAATAAACAATATTTTTAAAATAAGTAGAGCTTTTTCATCCAGGCTCAGCAATAATTCTGGATAGGATTTTTTTTTTATTGGTATTGTTGCGGCTATGTTAGAGTGCCTTACTCAAATTGAAAAACAGATCCAATTTCAAGAGTATTATTTTTCTCCTAGTATATTATGGTATTCATCTGCTTTTGTGTTTGTGTACATGTACTGGCATGACTTCAACTTAGTCTTGATTCCTAGCCACTGCCTGGGCAATTCCATGAAATCTTTTTGGGTAACATTTTTCAGAAGTGGTTTGCCTTTGCCTTCTTCTTGAGGCTGAAAAAGTATGACTGGCCCAAAATCATCTAACTAGCTTCATACCTAACATAGAATTAAAACTCACAGTCTCTTGGTTTGTAGCTCAGTACCTCAGCCATTAAGCCAAACTGGCTCTATGTGTAGAGATGCCTCAGGATGTAGGCTGTACTATGGGTTGACATCAGCACATTATATTCTGACATCCAAGCTTTGGTTATTGGATGGTTTACAACAGTGGTTCTCAACCTGTGGGTCGGGACCCCATTTGGGGTTGAACGACCATTTCACGGGGGTCGCCAAATGCAGTCTGCCATTTTTTCCCCCTTTTCCTTAGCTGTGCTACTTCCTTTTATTCTATTGGCTTTTGAAAGCCAATAGAATAGACTCTCTTGAATAGAGTCTAATTCTATTGGCTTTCAAAAGCCAATAGGAATTGTCCAGGCTGTCTCTGCCCTGCTGAGCCCGCCAAAAGTCCCATTCTGCAAATGGTGCTGCAAGCTGTCTGCAGCGAAGGCAAGCTGTCTGGAAGTTTCCACCCCTCCCTGCTGAGCAACTACTAAAAATGTAAGTAAAAGAGGGCCGGAGTGGGAGGTGGGAGGCCGGAGGGCACAGGAGGGTTGCTGGCGTGCGTGGGGCCCGGTGGGTGCCTTACCTCCCTTGGGCTGGGCCAGCTGATGGCCCAGCCGGTGGTTGTCCTGCATCGTCTCTTCCGCTTGCCAGCTACGCCTCAGCCGGCGCAGGGGGCGGCACCACGCATGTGCGGCGCTCCCGGGCAGGGAAAGTCCTCGACTTATGACCAGTTGGGTAGTCCTCGACTTACGACCGGTTGGGGGTCGTGGCATTAAAAAGGTTGAGAACCACTGGTTTACAAATTATAATAATTAAGTAGTGGCATGCTATTTATTCACACAAATGAGTATATACAGCGAATATTTTGGTAACTAATTTTGTAGAAAAGAAAGAGATGCTTGAAACAGTGTTTTTTAAATATTTCAGGAGTCTCTTTCACAATATCCATTTTGTGAAACTGCCAGATATCTCTTCCCCACACTTAAAATATTCCCATTGGCCTATCCCTGTCGCAGGTTAATTAAACATTGCAAAAGGAGACAATCTGTAGCCCTTCCAAGAGTTTTTACTATATTGCCAATGAGCTCTAGCTATCAAGATCAAAGATAAAATTGTGGAAATTATAATCCAAAATATTTGGAGGAAAACAGCCGGCCCCTTTTACATTATAACCACAAATCCTTATAATATATGTAATATATAATAATCCATATCAGCCCACAAGTATAAAAGAGTGACTAATAGAAACACATTCTGTTTATAGGGTTCTTTTTAACAGAATTAGAATTTATTTCACTTTATATTTTCACTTTACAGTTTATTTGCTTGGGCTTCAGGAAGATATGCCAAGCTACTGACACCTGATGAGCACTAAAACTAAAATTAAATCTAAAACATATTAGTTTTATGAAACAGGCTCTTCATTCAGCAAAGTAATCTTATGGTCAGCTACACTTTGGGTCTTGGGGAAAACCACTGACTTAAAACAGTAATATTAAATATATAGTTACAGAGGATGCTACTTCTGTTCTCCATCTGAGCTTGGCGCACTTAGAGGAAAGAAACACTCCTGTGTGAATGCTGTTTGTTGACTTCAATTCAGCATTTAATATAATCATTCCTCAGCATCAGGTAGACAAACTGGGCCTTTTAGGCTTCAATACTTCTTCGTGCAACTGAATTCTTGATTTTCTCATTGACAGGCCCCAGTATGTGCGAGTTGGGACTAATATTTCTAACACTATTTTCTTGAGCACAGGTTCTTATCAGGGTTGTGTCCTAAATCTGCTGTTGTTCACCTTGTTGACCCATGACTGTGGTACCAGGTTTGCCACCAATCATATTGTGAAGTATGCAGATTATAAAACAGTAGTGGGCCTTATTCAAAATGACAATGAGGGTGCTTACTGCAAGGAAGTAGAGGTTTTGGTGAACTGGTGTAATAAAAACAGCCTCATTTTAAACTTAGGAAAAACTAAAGGTTTCTGGGTGTGTAGCTAATAAGTACACTAGCTTGGTCACTCAACAATGAGACACTGGTGAAGCAGGCACAGGAGCACCTGCATTTTCTGCGTCGCATGAGAAAAGCACATCTTCCTTCCTCAATCCTTATAACTTTCTACAGAAGAACGGTCGAGAGCATCCTTTTAAATGGCATTATTGTCTTATTTGGAAGCATTACTGCTTCAGACAGGAAGGCGGTGACGAGGATGGCAGAAAAGATTATTGGCAGTTCATTTCCTTCTATCCAGGACAGAGCATATAAGTGATGCTTGAGCAAGGTCCGCAGGATTTTCTGGGACACTACATATCCTCTTCACGGCTTGTTTTCCTTGTTACTTTCTGGAAGGAGGCTTTGTGGTATCTGAAGCAGTATATCCAGATTCAGCCACAGTTTTGTTTCATATAGCATCAACCTTGTGAACTCTCAAGTTGCCTCTTTCCACCATGTATTCAAAATGTATAGTGATTAATATATAGTGCCCATAGTAAAAAAATAACAATAAAGGTTATCTTATCTATGTAAGAATCAGGCATAATTATGAAAGTGGACAATTGTAGAATATTAGTATCCACACAATCATGTTTTTCTTAAATTTGACCTTTTATTTTTCAGCATAACATTGCACTGAAGTATTTTGAAAAATGAAGAGGACTAAAAATATGTATCACTTTATCTGCTGCATATTGAGGGGAGATATTCTAGATATTAAACAAGTGAAAACTGTTCTAGTTTTCCTAAAAAAGCAAAAAAGAATTCAGAGGCAAGACTAATAAAGATCTATTTTATTCATAAAGAAAAACAAGTATCTTGCATTAAAAAACATTACCATTCTGTTTTATACAGTCATATATTTTATGATAATATATTCTATTTGACACTAAAAAAACTCTCACCCAGTGCATACTGCCATCTACACCATTCTATTAATACTCTGTACATGTTTGTTGTATGTTATAATTATATTAATAAGGAGATGAGAAATTATTAAGTCTCTAGATATTAGTGGTTTATAGCTCCAGTTATTCTTAAAACCTAAGTCTGACAAGAAGTGGAATCCAGTAGCATCTAGAAACCTACAAATTCCCCATCTATGACTAGTTTACAAATACAATAAATGTTATAGCTGAATGAGATGTGGAGTTATCATTTTGTTCTCTAAAATACTTGAGGAAAGAATACATTGAGCTTGGATGGATAAGGATACTCTAAATTATTGTTACCCTCTTCAAGACATGAAACAAGCAGAAATTGATGTTTGATGTATTTACATTTCAGAAAATACTTTGCAAGCACAAAATTGCTTTGTAGTGCACAATGACACTGCACTGGACATGCCGTTTTGAATGTTACTTGCTAGCAGGCTGTTTTGAATAATAACTACAGCTATCAAATATTGCATTTTGAATAATAGCTAAGATCCAGCTGCTCATTATATGAAATAGCCGAGCTTTCATAATACTGACAGAAACTTTGAATTTCAGATTCATAGGAGCCAGTTTGATGTAGTGGTTAAGGCACCAGAAACCAGGAAACTGGGAGTGAAAACCAGCTAGGTATCTTTAGGCCAGTCACATTTTCTCAGCCCAACTTGCCTCATAGGATTGTTGAGGGGAAAATAGAAGGCAGAGAGGCTGGAGAGGAGACAGCTCCCTTGATCATCTTGATCTATGTAAGGTAAGTGACCTGGTCGGGGAGGGAGAGGGAGAGGGGGAAGCATGAGGTATCTCACAGAGTTGGGGGAGACCTTGGGTGGCCGGAAGCACTAGGCCACCCCATGGTCTTCCCCACCCTGAGATATCTCATGCACTTAATGATCCACATATTCAATTAGCGAATGCGTGAGCGAAAGTTCAAGTTATGTGATTCACTCCTATGAATCCTGGTTACAAATGCAACATCCGTAACTTGAGGATTACCTGTAGTTACGTTTGTCACCTTCAGTTATTTAGAAAAACAATAAAGGTGGGATAAAAACAAATTTAAATCTTTTGTGGGACCTAAGTATCTACTTGTAATAGGACAGCAAAGACTGTTCCTCATCTGCTTTAGGGTTTATTCTTTGTAAAAATAGAAATTGCCAGGGGTGGATGGATAGTGAGTATACCAGAACGTAATACAGACAAACATACACAATAGAGTCAGTAAGAGATTAAGGTGCTAGACTAGGACTGATACAGCATGACTTTCAATAGAGAAAGCTTCATCCCAAAGCAGATTGTTTCAGACTGATTTTATATGCACTCCCAAAAGCAACATAAGCCTATCATATTATTTTCTAACATAAATGTATACAATTAAGAAGCAACTACATTTTCCTGTAACAAAAAGTACAAATGAATCAAAAGTGCAAAATACCGACTGTGCTTGCATTTCCAGAACTTTAGAGATCATTACATTAATGTATAATATGGTTAGGTTTTTATAATTTTTGCAGCTTTGGATTCCAAAAAAGTACATTAATCAGACAATATGTCTAATTAAAGCAGCTATGACTTTTGAATCATAGTGTAATATTTTAGTCCAGTTCTTCTCAAGTTTTGCATTCCCTTCTAGAATTGTAGCCAAACAGTAAATTATTACAGTTGATCAACTCACCTTGTTCATATTGGGTATTTTCAATTAGAATTACAGTTAATATTTGGAATATTCAGATGATAACTATTTTAAAACTAAAGGTTCATTAGGAAATGACTTTTGTTCCTTTCCTAGAAAAGTCTTTTTCCCAATATATTTTTAAAGATTTATATACACTCCTCGCACATACAAATTTAAGGCAGCAAACATACCTAATTCTCCTGCCTCCATTTTCCCCACAACAACTGAGAATGACTGCTCCAAAGTCATCCAGCTGACCTTCACGTCTAAGGCAAAACCAGGGATCTCAGTCTCCTGGTTTCTAGACTCAGGCCTTAACCGCTACACGTAGTCTTTGACTTATGACCACAACTGAGCCCAAAATTTCCACTGCTAAACAAGACAGTTGTTAAGTGAGTTTTGCCCCTTGTTATGACTCTTTTTGCCACAGTTGTTAAGCAAATCACTGCACTTGTTAAGTGAGTCACATATTGTTAAGTGAACCCAGCTTCTCCCAATGACTGCTTGTCAGATGCCAGCTGGGAAAATTACAAACAGTGACCCCAGGACAGTGCAACTATCATAAAGTCATTTTGTTAGAGTTGTTGTAACTTCAAATGGTCATTAATTGAATGGCTGTAAGTCAAGGACTATCTGTAGACCAGACTGGCTCTCAAAAATAAAACAGAACACAACAGTTTTCAGTATATAAAGCAATAATAAAAGATTTGTCCCAGGCTACACTTTTATTATAGCATTCTCATCTTTTTGTAAACTTCTGCTGTTCCATTAGATAGTCCTTGACCTGTGACTCATAGCTTAGCAACTGTTCAAAGTTACTGCACAGCCCCCAAAAGCTACTTACAACCGACTGCCGAAGTTATGGCTCCTGCAATGCCCTCAGTCTTCTGCTCTTAGGGCTGACCGCAGGGATCTTGTAGCATCCCCCTGCTTGTTTCCCACCCCCGTTCCTTTCCTTGGATTCCTGCAGGCCTTTGGCCTGCTTCCCATCCCACCAGGTCCTATATCCTCCTCCTCACTCACCTTTCAAAGATCTCTAGGAAAGGAGGACAGGCTTCTCTGTTCCAGGGCTATGTGGTGCGACCCCAGAAACGGCTGCCATTTTCCAAGCAGCCACATTGAATTGTGGTGGCTTGAAAAATAATGGCTACTTTCAGGATAGTGCCATGCGGCCCAGCAATGGAGTGCTTTGCTTTGCTTCCCTAGTACAGCATTCTGCAGCCCCAAAGAACATGGTGGAATACTGCAGAGCTCGGGTTAGGGAAGCAGAACAAGCTGCTCTGTTGCTGGGCCATGCAGTGCCATCCTGAAAGCAGCCTGTTCTCTTTTCCTAACCTGAGCTCAGAGATCTTTGAAAAGTGTGCAGTGGTGACATGAGGTGGGGAGGAGGGTGTGACGCTTGGTGGGATGAGAAGCTGGCCCAAGCTCAGCAGAGACTCTGAGAGGAGGAAAGCAGAGCATGGATGTCTTAGGGGATGGGAGAGGCTTGGAATCCTGGAACAGGCCCTGTGCTAGGCCTTCCAGAGCCTTCCCAACCACCCCGAGTGGCATGATCTATTGAACAACCACATCAGGGAAAGCAGGGGCGAAAGGGTTGTTAAGGAAGCCTCTTCCCTTAACTGCCATTATGACTTCCAACCATAATAACCAGTCTCTATTACAGTCTGGAGTTCAGAGCTACCTCTATATAGAGCTGATAGCATAGAATCTGGAGCATGGTGACATGACAAACTAGTCCAGCCATCCATAGCTAATCATAATCCAACTAAGTTGAACTAACCCATAATTTCAAGTCAATATTAGAACTACAATTTAAAACATAAGGAAACATTTGGATGAGATGATAGCATTTCTCACTAATACCCTATCTTGGTTTAAACATGGCTATTTTTACATCACCAAGTTAATATTCAGTAAGCATTTATCCTTAACTAGTATTTGAAAGAAGGGGATGATGTTGATTTAAAAAAAAATCCCCATAATGCTTTGGAAGTTCTGTCTTAAATGTGTTTAAAACTTAACAAAAAATATATACAAGTTCCAAGAAAGTTTACAAATCAAGTTGCGAGTAACACTACATCTGCACTGGCCAAAATAATTAGAAAAGAAACCTCTTGTATAAATTACTGAATCCTGAATGAAGTAAAAAGAAAAAACTTTCGAAGTACAAGAGCCAGCCTGCACTGAGTTAGGTAATACTTATAAACTTAACAACTTGTAAAATTCTCGGGTCTTAATAATTTTGGAGTATCAGTAATTTGCTCAACTGTGAATGTAATTATAGTTAAATATTCATTAAGTTTTAAAATATGCAGAAAAATATAAAAATGTATGTGACTATTAGAAACAAAATCCCATATGGAAATTTAAAAATCCAGAATCCAGAAAAGATACAATTTGGTTTCTCAATATTTACCAGATCAAGGAACTTCAATGTTCATTTGATCACAAAAAAGCAAACAGTCTCTTTTAATACTGACATAATCATAAGGACATGATTAATTTTCTAGCAAAAAACACTGTATCTGTCTGAATGAGTTCATTTGGTATAAATAGGACAGTTCGCTTAAAGATTGCACTGTTAATTCCAAACAGCCCTTTAAAGAAACAAATTGTGCATAGTATGTATGTGTACACACACACATAGAAAGAGAGAGAGAGAGAGAGAGAAAATAAATCTGGAGATGCCAACATTAGCAGACACTCATTATCTGCCAGTCTTCTTTACTATGCTTTTCTTTCTACTGAATGCTGTGACCCCTCAATATAATCCAATCCATACTCCAACTGGCCAGCGTAGAAGGAGGCAGTGCATGGCAGCTATAGGGGAGAGAATATCTGCTCTGCTCGGGAGGGTCCACTCTGCTGGGAGCTGGACAATTTTAGATTCATCCATAGACAGTGCATTGCTTTTGGAATCAGTGCATTTTAAAGTAATTCATTTGTTATCAACAAAAATACTTAATTCACGGACGTTGAACCAGCTTGCTTTTGTTCCCATCTTGTTCACTAAGTTTGAAGTGTGTGTAAGCTAGAATGCCAAACAATGTGCATGTAATTCCAAGGCCTTGATTAATTGACAAAGAATCCTTAAATAAAAGATATCCTCCCATGAGAGTGATGCAGAATTTGAAGTGTCCAAACATGTTGTATCTACATAACTGGGTTAAGGAACATAATTAATCCAAAATAATCAAATACTAAATCCTGTGCCAGGTTTGGCTTCTTAAGTCGTACTCTTATAAATGTAAGCTATGTTAGAAAATACCTCCCTCAAGAATAATTGGAACTCTGCTTCATTAATATAGGTTATAGTAATAGAATTTTGAAAGCTTAATAGCATTTTCCTCCCTTTCTCTTATTGCCAAGCAAGTTAAAATTTCATTATAAAATTTTCTTCTTCTCCTGAGCTTAAATAATATTTTTGTTACTGTTAGGGCCGTGGTGGCGAACCTATGGCACGCGTGCCACAGGTGGCACGCAGAGCCCTCTCTGTGGGCATGCGAGCCGTCGCCCCAGTCCTAGGCCTTCAGCTGAGTTTTATAAAACCTTTTCGCTTTAGGCCTCCACTGCCGTGTGCAAAAAAAAAAAAAGATTCAATCAATTTCAACTTCTTGTGGGGAAAAAAAAAAGATCTCGCAAAGTTGGAATTATTGTTTGAACTTTTTAGTCCCACCTAGTCTGCCGTTACCACTGCAGCCATGCCCACCCAATAGGCACACCCACCCAATGGGCCACGCCCACCCAGCACCCGATGATACATAAGTGAGTTTTGGGTTGCAGTTTGGGCACTCGGTCTCTAAAAGGTTCGCCATCATTTGCAGGGGTAGGCAACCTTGCCTCTTTTATGACTCGTGGACTTCAACTCCCAGAATTCCTGAGTCAGCTATGCTATGCTATGCTGACTCAGGAATTCTGGGAGTTGAAGTCCACGAGTCATAAAAGAGCCAAGGTTGCCTACCCCGTGCTATGGCATCCTTTTGCCAGGGTCATCTCCATAGTTCCTTATTGTATACAATCGTTCTTAAAACTGCCTAAAACTGAAAGCAAGATTTTCTCATGTATCTGTTAATTCATTTTTGGCTTTAAGGAAAACTTCTCTCACTGCTAACAATACAGGTAGTCCTCGACTTATGACCACAATTTTGAGTCCAAAATTTCTGTTGCTAAGTAAGACATTTGTTAAGTACATTTGGCCCATTTTACAAACTTTCTTACTACACTTGTTAAGTGAATCATTGCAGTTGTTAAGTTAGTAACATGGTTAAGTGAATCTGGTTTCCCAATTGACTGCTTGTTAGAAGGTTACAAAAGGTGATCACATGATCCAGGGATATTGTAACTATCATAAATATGAGACACTTGCCAAACATTTGAATTTTGATCATGTGACTATGGGGCTACTGCAATGGTCATAAGTGTGAAAAATGGTCATGTCACTTTTTCAGTGCTGTTGTAACTTTGAACAGTCACTAAACAAACTGTTGTAAGTTGAGGACTGCCTGTATTCATTATATATATATTTTCAATAAAAGATTCATCATTATTTTACTGCTACTTTAGAAAGTAAATCCAAGAATTGGAGATGAGTCATTCCCTCATAAAACAATGGGATTCCTTAACTGCTTTTATTTTATAAGATTATAATATTTCAATGTATAAGCAAAATTATAATAAATTAGAATGGAATGCATATAATTTGAATATAGTTGTAACACTGACATGCAATTAATACCACGGTACCAGAGATCAGATTATACAGCATCATTAAGATACCTAATTAAGACAATTCACTCTTAACAATGTAAACAAACTTGTTGAAAGATCCTAAAATGTAGTGTTTAAGTCCAATACAATATGATTCTACACTTTCTGAAAGTTTTACTTAAAATAGTTTATTGGTGACTCACCTGATGTTTTCCAATTTCTACAGTAAATAAGTTTGCAAAACTGGAGCAATAATTTTCCAAGTGAAAGGATACGTCACTGGTGAAGTATTCCCAATAATC